CCCCTACCCCCCCTCCCCTCCTACCTCCCTCCCTCCCTAAACAAAAAAAAAAAAAAAAAAGAGAAAATGTTTAAAGAATCGACCTTACCGCCCCGTTAATGTGATCAAGACGGAAGCTTTAGCGCGCTAGCTCGCTAGCTATTTCACGGCATTTGATCCAGCAGCAGCAGCAACAAGGCCACGGCCAGAATATAAGTACATAAACAAGTCATTAAGAGAGGGGAGGGGGGTTAGGTAAGTATTAGAAACTAAGAGCCGAGAACCGAGCAAAGCGAAGCAAAGCAAAGCGCGTCTAAATAAGTTACTAAGTAACTAAGTAATTAATTAAATAAGGATTAACGATGAACGAAGAAGTAGAAGTAGAAGTAGAAGTAGAAGTAGAAGTAGAAGCTTGAAAGGAAGGAAGGAGGGAAGTATGTATGTATGTAGAGTGCAAAGTGTAGAGGGAGAGGGAGAGGGAGAGGGAGAAGTAAATAGAGTATATGCACAAAAGAGTAAATACAGTTTTCTATTTACAGAATATCTACAGCTGCTGGGAGCCAGTATGTACCTATGTATGTACCTGTGTATCTACCGATATGTACCTATGTATATAGCCGCCTTGGATTTTAACCTCTCCGTCTCCGTGACCCATCACGATTCCTTTATATTAAAACGTAAACGTAAACATGGTCGTTGTTCATTATCCATGAACCCATGAACCCAATAAATCCTTGCGCCCCTCACCCTGTCCCCTTTACCCCCCACCCCCCCCCCCCCACGCTAGAAAGAGCCCCATCAAGGATGATAAGTATTCATGAACCCCCAAAAACTGTCATTCGCGAAATCGCCCTCGAACTGCCACTGCGGATCCGCTCCACCGCTGCTCATGCCGTTCGCCCCGCCGCTCGCACCTGCGTTCCAGCCTGGAATACCCGGCGTCGGCATCCCCACCGGGTTGTTCAGATCCAAGCCGCCGTCGATGGTGCCGCCGAGGTCGTTGAACAGGAGGTCGCGCATGGGCTGGAGAGGGGCCATGGACGAGAAGTCGAAGGTTTGCGGCACCGAGAACGTGTACCACGGTGAGGTTGCGGGAGGGACGGTGGCGGCCGAAGCGGGCATAGAGCGGGGGCGGACCGCGGATTCGGTGAGGTTTGAGATGGTGGGGAGGGTGTACTGGGTATGGGCCGTGCTGGCACTCTGAGGCGCCTCCGAATTCGAAGCAGCAGCACTCGCACTGCTGATACTTGGATGGCGCGGGGCCGGCGGGTTGGGACACCGCGGGGTGTAGAAGCCGGCGCCAGGTTCCGGACTTGGGAGTGTAGGGGTGCCGCTGGTGGGCGGTACATCCACCTTCAGCTGTGGATCGACCTGGGACATGTCCGTCTCCACCCTAGGCTGGCATACAGGGCGGTTCATTGCCTTCCTCAGTCTCACACAGATAGCTTTCAGCACGCTGAGAGCAGTTTTCGCCATGGAGTTGCGCTCGCTCATCGTCTCGAAGCGATCCATCCCCCATCGGAAATGCTGCAGCGCATCATCCAACTCGTCGGGGTTTTCAGCAGGGTGTAAGATGTAGATGGCTGCGACGAGGACGATGGCGTCAAAGGTGTTGAGCACGAGTGAGAACATCTTGTAGTGCCGGATGCTGAGAAGATTGAAGTAGGTGCGCTGGGCGCGCAGGATATCCAATCCGGCTCGGAGTGCCGCGGTGCGAGAGTTGGCGTTGGTGAAGATGTAAGGACGGTGGAGGGCCATTACTGTGAAGGCTGTACTGGTTTGGAAGGTTGCGCGGGCACAGGGTAGCCAGAAACAGTCGGGGTGAGAGTCGAATGTTGTGTCTGGGTTCTGGGCACGAAAGTAGGGCGGGCAGTAATGGGTGATGGTGTTGATCTTCTTGTGCATTAGTTCGAGTTTCGAGTAGTTGTTTTGATTGGGGTCTTCTTTTTCGAGGCTGAAGATGTCCCAGAGGGGAGCTGCGATCTCGGCATTCCACAGGAGCATGGTGAGGGGTGTTGGTGGGTCGGCGTCTGTTCGCTGGGCTGGGGCAACCTCGCGGCGGTTCTTGGGGATGGGGGCATCGATGGGGAAGGCTGGCTTGCCGTCACGGGTGGAGACGACGGTGGGTCGTCCGAGGACGATGGCCATGTGGATGTCCCAGAGCGAGAGGATGAGCCACATTCGGTGGCGAAGTTGCTCAAGCCAGAGGTGTTCCAGGTAGTCCTCGGGTTTCTCTTCGGGTTTGCGTTGGTGTTGAGCCATGTCTGGCTTGTGAAGTCCGATCTCTTGGGCATCTCTGATGGTCGAGGAGAGGTGGTGCCAGCTTTCCGGTACGAGGCCGCAATTCTTCAAGTATGCTGTTCGGAGGAAGCCGGCCTGGACGGTGACCAGCGTTGTGTGTCTCTTCCCGAGCATGCAGAGGATTTGACAGCCCGACTCGCTGTAATCACTTGCCAAGTCATCCAGTGACATCCCAGCCGCATATTTCAGCGAGTCCAGACTCTGGTCGTAGTCGATAGGTTGGAACTGCAACGCCATAGCCAATGTCTGGAACAGCAGAGCAGGAAAGAACTGCAGATCTGGCGGCAACTCCTGGGGCCCCTTATTGAGCGTCGAGAACGACAGACTATGCCAATTCTTGAGCAAGTCCCTGAACGGCCCCTCGTCCAACGGGCAGTACTGCCAATTGACCTCCCGGAAGAAACACGCGACCAATTGCTCGATATACGGTTTCGCTGGCAGCTGGCGTATCATGCTCTTGTACTTCTCTCTCAAGCCCCCGTACTCCGAGGAACTGGACGCCATGTTTGGTAACCTAGAGCTCGGGTCCGCATCCAGATTCTCTATCTTCTTGAAGATGCCCAGCGCGGTATTGGTAGTGCCACTTGACTTTGCATATCCAAATGCGCTAACCTGAGCCGCCGTCTCGGATTCCTGCTGGGCGTGATGGAAGAGGGCGCCTTCTTCTGCGGATCCATTCGCGCTCTCGTCTAGAAGCTGTTGCTTCCGAGCCGACTCGCTCTCATACCGACACAGGCCTTGTTTGTTTCTGGCTACGCAGTTCGAGCACGGATTTTGGCGGTCGCACTGCGAGGGTTAGCTATGTGGAGGGCGCGTACGTGGGTAGGTGGGTAGGTGAGTAGGTGAGTAGGTGGGTAGGTGAGTAGGTAGGTCGGTCGGTAGGTAGGTAGGTGTATACCTTACCTTTTGCTTTCTGCGGTGACACTCGGTGCAGGAGATTACGATTCTCTTCCTCTTCCGTGGAGGCTTGACTGGGCTTGAAGGCGCCGGGTGATGTCGGTGCTCGGCGGCAGACTCCATTGTGTCTCTCACCCCGCGGATTCTTGCATCGATCGCGTTGTGTATTCGCAAGGGGACGCTTGTCGCAAAGTGAATGGTTCGACAGCAGGACGTATGATGGAAGCAGCGAGGGACCTCGGAGGATTAGGACTTCAATGTTTGAATTGCAGTGTCGTAGCTGTGACGCGCTCTTGGATTGCGTTGTGGTATCATATTGCAATCGTGATAATTTAGTTGTTGGTGTTGCTAGAGCACCGGGGAAATTCGCCCGGACTAAAGTATCTCCACGAGTCACGGGGTCGGTCCGAGGTCGTCCGAGTCGAGTCGAGTCGTCGGACCCCACATCCTGGACTTGCTCGCATCAAAACAATGGGAGCAGAAGCTTTTGGCTTTTCAGGCTGTTTTGAATGGAGGAACCGGCCGCTTGTTCAGGCGACAATTTAGAATCTACCACTTACGGCCTACGACTTGATACTCTCTCTACGAAGGCACTCGTCAGTATGAATGAATATGCGAGGTATGAGAATAAATACCTTGACCTAGGTATGGTCTCTTCCTGTGTCAAGTTGTAAGGAAAAATCCGATCGTTAGAGCCGCGTTGAGTCCTGTCGTGGCCCGGGGAGAAGCGAGGAATCAACAAACACAGCGAAGCGAAGAGAAGATCACTGACCACGGCTGATGCCTCTAGATTCCCGGGGGTTGCGACTCATGCCATATATCTATCTACCTTGGGGTAGCGTTTGACCCTCTTCTGGTATATGAGACTTCACCAGTCGTTGTACAGTCGGTGGGTAGGTACCTCATCACTCCAAACTTCCCATCGGCTAAATGAAGTGTGACGGTAGTACCTCCGTCACTGATATCCGTCCCAGGTTCGGTGGCGGTCGGGCGTCTGGCGTCTGGCGTCGGGCGTCTGGCGTCTGGACTTTTGATCCTCAGCAGGACTGCTTTCCTCAGCTAGGTAATTAATTACCTGACCTAAATAGTTGTAAGTTACCTTGCCTTACTTGACCTTCCAAATTACCTTACCTACCTACTGTAGTAGTTGTAAGTTACATACTTGTAGTACCTTCCTTGCCTTACTTGACCTTCCTATGCCCGTGCCATGTCCATTGTATATACTTCCGACAAATTGCAACGATCATCCATCCATCCATCCATCCAACCAACCGACTGATGCCCATCCCAGCCCCTGAAAAGACTGCTACTGCCTCACCGGTGTAATACTTACCGCCTGAAGATAACTAGTACATCGGGAACCCAGGGAGTTGAAAGTGGAGTTTCAGGCGGGCGCTGGTCATTGGTCCCTGGTCACTGCCGAGTCTCCCTCCTTTCTTAGGGTCCGGCTGGGCATCGTGCAAGTGACGTCAGTAGCGTCAACACCCTGGAAATGATTGAGCCGCTTCGTCACTTTTGTCACTTCGTTGCTTCGTCGCTTCTGCTTCGGCTTTTGCTTTTGCTTTTGCTTCTGCTTCTGCTCCTGCGCTTCGGCACTTTCTGTCGCCCGATAATAGCCAACTTGACTTCGCACCTTCCATCGTTGACTTACCCAACCAAGTAAGTAAATTCTTAGTTGACAGGTCCTCCGTCGCCGCTATTCTCTAGTCTTATCTCTCGTCCCATCTTCTGGTCCCACATCCCACATCCCACACCCACACCCACACCCACATCCCACCTCCACATTCACATCCACATCCCTCACCCACATCCCACGTCCTACATTCTACACCTTCCCTCAATCCCCATTTCCCACTCCCCATACTGCTGGCAGGAATCGAGTCGAGTCGAGTCAAGTCAAGCATTCGGATCGAGTCGTGTCTAGTTCCACTGCACTTCATTCGAACTACGCACACTCCACCACACCACACTACACTACACTACACTACACTACCCTACCCCAGATCAGATCAGCTCAAACAACTTTCAGCCGCAGCAGAGAAAGATCGGGCAGGCTTGTTCACCTTAATATGGGTGCTCCCAGGTCAGGATAAGAGACGACGACAGGCCAGGCCAGGACAGGACAGGACAGGACAGGACACACACGACAGCACCCCAAAGGATAAAGAAGCCAATTCTTTTTACCCTATCTGCAACGCTGGATCCGCCGAATCAAAAGTCGCCGAGGAGATCGATTTCTCGCCCGGAAATCCTTGAATATTAGATCGTGTTCAGTCTCTCGCTCGACACCTTTCTGCCGATACAGGTAGTGACACCGCGCCCGGGAGAGTCTATTACAGCAGACGCCAATCTGGCTCGGGATCAGAGAAATTCGGCCTGATGGCGCCTATCGCTTCAACAATCGCGTTGCATCTGGAGGGCGTGTCCGATAGCCAGCGGGCAAGAGAGGTCTACAAGTGCGTTGTCTCAATACCTGTACATGTACATGTACTTGTACCTGTCCCAATCCCAGTCCCTATCGCCCTCCAGATAGAAAACGGAAGGTAGATGGCTGTGTAGCGATCATGAAAAGGCTAACAAGCGGCGCTGCAGATACTACCAACCAGTCCCCGTGGCGGCCGACAAGCCAGAGATCACGGAAGAGTCCTCCGATGATACAGAACATAACAGAGATATCAAAGTGACATCCAACGTCACGTCCTCCAAAGTCTCCTCGCCCGATACCGCGCTGACAGCCTTCTGCCAACTGACAACATGGAGGCTGGGCTCGCAACGGGCTATGATAAGGCTGGTACCCACCTCGAAAAGCTGTCGAGGGCAGGTGCTGACTGTTTAGTGTCATTGATGCCGAAACCCAATACTTTATTGCCGAAGGCACGAAGACGGTGGATCTGGTAGATAACACCAAACATGCGCCAGGAGATGACATATGGATTGGTTGTGCGGCTGTGAGCAAGGTTGGACGGCTTTGCGAGAGGTAAGCCAACCACATCATGGGATTAAACCAGGCTAAATGAGTGCGCAACAGAACAATCGCGGTCAAACCCAGCGGTGGATCCTACCCGGTCTTTATCGTGGATGACTTGAGCAAGGACGACCGTTTCAATCAACTACCTTTTGTTGCTGGCTCGCCATTCATGCGGTTCTATGCCGGAGTACCTCTGATCACCAAGCGCGGCATCCCCATTGGCAGTCTCTTTGTGGTGGACGAAAGACCAGGCAGGGGCCTCTCCCCGGAGAAAGTTCACTTCATGGGAACGATGGCAGTGACCATCATGAGGCACATGGAGATGACGAGAGAGGTCGAGGAGCACCGTCGAGGCATGAAGATGAGTCGAGGACTCGCGTCTTTTGTGGAAGGCCGAGCAGAGCTCGCCGAGGCCGAAATCGAAGCCGAGGACAACGAAGGAACCAAGATCGTAGGCCAATTCGAGACGGAAAATTCTCTTCGAACCACGAGGTCCAAGGGCTCAGTGCGAAGCTCCGTGTCACAGTCACATGCGGGATCTGTCGCCGGTGTCGATGGTCCGGAGAGGGAGTATTCCGCGGCGCTGTCGAGGACGGAAAAGGTAATATTTGCTGCAGGCCAGGACAGCCTTCAGGATACCCCGAGCAAACGCCCAGATCTGGAATCTATGGCCCAGTCGCAACAGACGTCGTACGAGACGAGTGTTACGATTTCATCTCCCAGCGACCCCAATGATAAGAGTGCCAGCTCCCCAGGCGAGGAGCAGACGGAGATCGTGTCGATGAAGCTGCTCTTTTCACGCGCTGCCAACCTGATCCGAGAAGCATTCGAGGTGGACGGCGGATGCATTTTCTACGACGCGCAAACCGGGTTCGGTAGCGACAAAGCTCACACCCAGGGACCCCACGGAGATCCGAGCAGTCACCAAGAGAGTCCAACGAGTAGCATAGCTGGCTGCCTGAGCAGCGATCTGGATAGTTCGGTGTCCGCTGGGGGATACTTTTCCGATGCAGAATCGAAACGAAGATTCCCTGCAGCATTACCCGCACTTCCCTCGCAGGGCGATGGGTCTCTGGAATTTGCTGACACGGCCTTTTCTCACACTACCAGCACCGCCTCGAAGCCGTGCGAACTCCTAGGTTTCTCGACTCCATATGCAGCTTCCATCAATAGTGATCCGATGCCAGGCATGGAATCTTTCAACCCGCTGGAAGAGAAGACTTTGATGCCCCTGCTCACTCGATACCCCCGGGGTAAGTTATGGAACTTTGACTCTGACGGTGGTGTATCCTCTTCATCGGACGAGGAGCAACATCCACCCTTATCGAGCGACCCATTGAAGCGCAGTAAGGAGATGCGACAACGCAAAGTCAAGAACAAGCAGAGCAGGTCTGTCGCCAAGATGCTGGCCAAGTACTTTCCTGGTGTCCGGCAGCTGCTGTTCATACCTCTCTGGAATGCCGGATCGTCTCGCTGGCTGAGCGCTTGCTTTGCTTGGTCAACGGAGCCGACCCGTGTTTTGTCCATGCAAAGCGAGCTCTCGTTCTTGAGTGCCTTTGGGAACTCTGTGATGGCTGAATGGTCCAGGATTGACACAGAGATCGCGGACCAGAAAAAGACCGACTTCATCGGAAGCATCTCTCACGAGCTGAGATCACCTCTACATGGTATCCTTGCAAGTGCTGAATTCCTGGAAGAGAACTCGACTGGCTGGGAGAGGGGCCTTGTCGAGACTATTGATAGCTGTGGCAGAACGCTACTTGACACGATCGTGAGTCTTTTGAGTATCCGTGATATTTCCTCGCTAAACGTCACAGAACCATATTCTCGACTACTCCAAGATCAATCACTTCGAGAAGAACTGGAGAAAGAACAAGGGCCGGCCACAAGGCTTGACAGGAAAAGCAGGAGCGCCTCTTGCCCTGCAGCAATCCGACCTCCCTATGCTCAACCTATTCCAGGCCCTCGATATCTCCATACTGTGTGAGGAGGTGGTCGACAGTGTTTTTGCCGGTCATGTCTTCCAACACACCACCGCGCAATCCTTCGACCAGGTCGCAGATGCGCGGGGAAAGATGGCAGACTCCATCAAATCGGCAGCTGCAACGGATGCCTCTACAAGCTCGCAAAGTATCCAGGTCTCGTCTGGAGTTTTTGTCATCCTCGATGCCGAGTGCCACAACTACCATTTTACCACTCAACCTGGAGCACTCAGGCGACTAATTATGAACCTCTTGGGCAATGCCTTGAAGTACACGTCTCATGGATACGTCAAGGTGAGCCTGCAGGCTGTCGATACGGATGATTTTCACGTCACCTCTGAGGGATCATTCGCTGGCAGCGAAAATGTTCCGAGGTCTATGATAAAACTGGTTGTGGAAGACACCGGCCGTGGAATCTCACATGACTTCTTGAGATCGAAGCTCTTTATGCCTTTCGCGCAGGAAAACTCGTTGTCGAGCGGAACTGGTCTCGGCTTGTCAATCGTGAAAAAGATTGTTTCTCTGCTCGAAGGAGAAATCACAATTGACAGCGAGGTTGGCCGTGGTACCCGTGAGTCACCACCTGTACACAACCTACTGGCTTACCGTTTCTAACAATCCCTAGGCGTCACAGTCGAGATTCCACTTCTCCGCGAGATGCCTCGAACGGTTGGCTCTGCAGCTTCATCCAGTACCCAGAAATCGATCATGTCCGTAGCCCGCGACACCGACGACACAATCAAACAGTTGCAATCCCAAGCTGCCGGCTACCGCGCCGCCCTTCACAACTTCGACATCGAGACCGGAGACCCCGTCCTCCGCGATATGGGCCGCCTACTCAAGAGATCCATCACAAACTTCCTCGTAAAATGGTACGGCCTGCGCATCGTACCCCTCGGCCAGAAGTGCGAAATCGTCATCTCAAATGAAGCAACTCCAGACATGATCTCTGAACTGATCGCTCAGTCCTCCTCTCACAAGAACTCGCCATCCATTGTGGTGCTCTCTTCTCACAGCTCGCGCTTCGACCGTAATATGAGCATCTCCCCCGATATCAATGTCTCCTTTATCGCTAAGCCCATTGGCCCTCTCAAACTCGCCAAAGCCATTGCACAATGTCTCCCCGGTGCACCATTCATACCCACGCCTCGCCCTGAAGCCCATTCTTCGGAATCCTCGGACTTGAGTAGCGTCTTTGAGGAACTGACTATGAGCCCGAGAGGTGGCGAGGTCCTGGACAACTCTCGGATGGCGGCTGATAGTGACAATGCACGAAAAGCCCTGGAGAGCCCGACCCCGAGCGCAGTGCCCGAGAAACACGCGGAATTCCCGTTCCCGATACCTCAGGTGGAGGAAAAACTGAAAACCCCTCCGAGACTTGGAAAGCTTGGCGAGAAATTACAAAGTTCGCTCAAATTACCCCCGAGGACGTCGAGTGTAGAACGCATGCCCATCCCAAAGTCCGTGACCAGCGAACCCATTCCTAAACCCTTATCACCTCAGCCTAAGGCAAAGTTGGATTCTCCTACGCTGCTACTAGTGGACGACAACCAAATCAACATTCGTCTCCTGAGCACATATCTCACGAGGAGGAATTACGCGGTGGTGCACGAGGCGATGGACGGCCTGCAGGCTGTGAACAAGGTCGATGCTAGGAAAGAAGGGTATGATATCATATTTATGGACATCACGATGCCGGTGCTCGACGGCTTCGGCGCCACCCGCCAGATCCGCGCGATTGAAGATCGTCGTCGCCGCGCCACAAACCCGGGCCTTTATTCCTCGTCGGACACTATTTGGGGCTCTGTGGTGTCAGATCGCAAGGGATCTGGGGCACGTGGTGGGAGGAATGAAGGTGGGGACGGAGATGGCAACGCGGCACTGATCATAGCGTTTACAGGTCGCAGTTCAATTGAGGACCAGACCGAGGCGGTACGGGTTGGCATCGACCTGTTCATGACAAAGCCGGTTGCGTTTAAGGAGGTTGGCAAGATCATTGATAATTGGGTTGCTAACCGGGAGAAGGAGAAGCGGGGGAACTTGACGTGAGGTGGCTGGGGAAGCGGGGAGAACAGAAAGCGGGAGCAGTGAGGGAGACGCATGATATGGGAGATGTAGGTGAAGGATGGCGGGGGAAAAGGATCATGTCTCTGAATTCTACTGCACTGCACAGCAGTACTCGGCGTTCGGGTCTGGCTCGGAGTGAGCGTCGGCATTGGGCATTGCGAAGGGCGTTATCTGGAACAAGGGTGTGCTTCTCATTTGGCTCCATCTTGGCGGTGTGGAATGCCTTTCGTTTTGTTTTGGAAAAATGTATACCACGAGAGCGAGCGAGATACTAGGTCAACGAAGAGATATGATAATGGGAACGGGAATGGGAACGGGAACGGGAACGGGAACGGGAATGGGAATACTCCAGATAGGATAGCGGCTTTCAGGCTAGCTTCAAACTTCACACAAATCACCTTGGTAGAAGGGGCGAAAATGACTGTGCAATTGAATCCCTGGCGTGATTGGTGGGTATAGTAGGTAGCTGAATTGTGAAGTCGTTACGGAGGTAGGAAGGTAGGAAATGGGTATCTAAGCGATGATAGCCCAAAGCGAAAAAAAAAAAAAAAAAAAAAAAAAGGAAACGGAACAAAAAAAAACAGAAAAAAAAACCACAACTAACTAACTGCTGAATACTCCGCCTCAGCTCTCAGCAGGAAGCCGTCAAAGGCACAACCAGCTGCAAGGTGCCGTTCCATCTCGGGACCTCGCCGCTCGCGCTCGCGCGGAAGGCTTTCAGCTCTGCTACGACGTCGCGCAGATCATCAGCCGGCGGGAGCTTTGCTTTCGCTTTCACTTTCGCTCTCGCTCTCGTCTGCATGTTTGTCTGCTCTTTACCCTTTGCCTTCTTGTCTCCCTTCCCTTTATCGTCATCGTCATCATTATTGTTATTATTATCGTCATCATCGTTATTAAAGAAAGAAAAATCACCCCTCGTGCTGGCCAGAAAGGTATCCATCTCCTCGTCTTCCTTCTCCTCCTGCTCCTCCTCCTCCTCCTGGCCGGTATCCGTCCGGACGAACTCCAAGCGGAGAAGGCGCAGACCGGAGAGCAGAGTCCCCGCCGGAGCTTGCGCCGAGGCTTGCGCCGAGCGGGCCCGCGCCAGGCGCTCGGCTTGGGCGGCGGCGTGGCGGAGGAGCCGGATCAGCTGCTCGATGGTGAAGCCGTGGGATTTGGTCGGGATGCCGGTGAGGGTGAGGGAGGTGAGGTGGTATGTGGCGGCAGCTAGTGGATCTGCGGCGGCGGCATCGAGGGCGGAGGTGTATGCGCTCCCGAATACCTCGGCGTCGTGGAGGTGGGGGAGGTGGAAGGTATCCGTGCTGCTGCTGCTGCTGCTGATGGTGGGCGTGTAGGTGGCCCACGAGTGGTGGATGCGGAGGTCCTGGATGGGGGAGGGTTGCGCGGAGGGGCGTATGGGAGACGGAGGAGACCACCAGACGCTTGCGTGCGGGGGCGCTGCAGGGAAGAGGTCGGTGGTATGGTTCTTGGTCTTGTTCTTGTTGGCGGCGCGGACGGTGCCGATGTCGAGGACCTGGAGGCGGTTCCGCGTGCTGAGAAGATCGACAAGGATCTCGCTGGTCAGCCTGTTGCCGGACACATAGAGGTTGGTGAGGCCGCTCTGGATGTACATCGAGCTGTTCTCGCTCTGGGCGTGCTCTTCCATGTGCCGGATCACTGCCGAGGCGGAGTCGGGTCGTCGCGTGGAGAGCGTAGACCAGGGTCCGTGATCGTGCTTCTGGTAGACAGGCGGAGATTCGTACATGGCCGCATCGTCGTCCGGGCTGACGGGGTCGGCTACACCAGGAAGGTCTGGCTGTCTGCAGAAGTCGAGCAGGCGCCGGATTTGCGGATCTCCAAGAAAGTTGTCCCTCACGTCTAAGCTCCAGAGCTGCGGTCCGCATCGGAGGACGAAGTTCGGGATGGTGGTCAATCGCAGCTGACGCATCTTCAGCACGCGCAGGTTCTGGAGGTCCAGATGCTCCAGCTGCCAGAAGCTACTCTGGGTCGTGTCGGTACCCGACATGTCGAGGTACATGAGATGGTGGAAGCGAGGCTGCCTGAGCACCAGACTGACATCAACGGTGAAGCAGCTGGCGACGCTGAAGACGAGCATGTCAAGGCCGGACCCAGGGCTGGTATCACGGTAGGTGCCGTCGCCGACCGATGGCATGCCGTCAAGTATCAGATACTTCAGATTTGGCATCTTGGTTATAAACCTGAGAACAGTTTCGAGATTCAAGTCTGGTTCATTCTTCCAGTAATCACGTTCATGTTGGCGCTTGAAGGCCTCTTGAAGAATCGGGCGGACGTCAAGAGACTTGACAAAGACATTGTTCTTTTGGAACGGCGGGCGGAGAAGTAGGGCGACAAAACGCTCTGGCCATGGACTTGCGCTTAGCAGAGCAGAAAAAAGCCGGGCAGAGCTTTGCTCTTTGGATCGTTCTGTGAGAAAAAGACTCACCGAACGGGCTATGCGTATCAGACAGGAGCAGATACTTGACAGGGTCCTCCCAAAGGCAGGAGCTGAAAATGTGGAAGAATCGGCGGTTGGCCTGTACCATGGCACGGAGGGTTTCGATATCGAGGTACGGGGCCAGAGCCGAGATCCCAGCCTGGTAATGATCTTTCGCCGTTTCGTAGCGCGGGAGTGACATTTTGATCGCGGGTTGTCGTTGTATATAAGGCGTACTCGTTTGCTGTTTGGGATTGGTTAAGCTGCACGTGCCGATTATTAATTTCTTAGCGAGAAATTCATATATAAGTAAGGTAGGTAGCCGACGTTACATTTAGCGAGAGAATCAAGGAGTGCATCGCCAGTCAGTATTTGTATAGTTGCAGGGATGGATTTTTATTCTTGGAGCTCATGCCTAGAAGAGTTGGTCCGTTTGGGAAATAATCTGAAGCTTATGAGGTTACTAGAAAGGTGTTTAAAAGACGGCGCTGGGCGTAAAGTAAATATTTATTTTCAAACGTGAATATTGCGGCTGCGATGTATATTAAATCGATAGAAGAACACAGCCAAAAACTCAAGGCCTCCTCGGCAGCTCTGATATAACATACTCTGCTTAAAAGGGGTAATGATACACATTCGAAGACATCTTCATCGATCGGATGTAAAAATTCGAGAAGACAATCGTACTTTTTTTGCTTTTTGCAAAGAAGCACGGGAATAGCCTTCTACCCGGAGCGTCGCTGATCGTGGTCAATAATAATCGCAGCCGAGGGTTTTCGATATAGCCGGGTCATATGTGCGTAAGTCTTTGAGATTGAATAGATTCTTTGACATTGAATAGATGTCGAGTAGATGTCTTCTAATACATCTGAAGGTTCTTCCGCAGATATGTCATCTCGGGAAGTATTGGTCTTGAATGACTGTTATTGTTATTGTTGTTTTGCTGCGGTTGCTGCTGCCCTGCTTCTGATGCTATTATGTGCTGTTGCTGCTATTGTCGCGACAGCGCTTCTGTTGTTGCTGTTACTGATCTTGTTGATGCTATAATGTGCTGTCGTTACCGCAACAACGCTCTCGTTTGCTGCTGTTACCGTCCTTGTTGCTGCTGTAAACCATCGCTTCTCTATCCAGTCATAGACCTTCCAAGTTGTAGCTTCAACTTCCTCCCCATCATCTCCTTTCCAATCCCAGGCTCTCTCTTTGCTAAACATCCCGAAAGCAGCGCCGAATCGCCTATCACCTGCGTCCTAGTCCGGGGCTCTCTCAGCCGTAGACAGTATCCTTATCCCGCCCAAAGGGATGCGGTGGCGGCGCGGGGAAATCGAGCGGATGCTCGCATGGGTGGAGCTCTGAGTAGTCTGTATGGTAATAGCTGGCTCATGCGCCTCGACGGGTGTAATAACGAAATGATTTGACATGAGAGCTGGGCTGCAAGTGTGCGTTTACGCTTGCAAAAGGGGTAACGAGTTGAAGATAAGAGAGTCATGATTACCTCTCTGCAAAGGGAATTGAGCTGATCATTTCACGTTAGAGGCGGAAGTTTGCGCTGGTTCGTATTACCCCCAACTGTCTCTGAAACGGGCGGAGAATGTGGCATCCGGCAATGGTTTTCAATTGCGAATAGGAATGTGGATTAAGAAGGACGTGTCAGCAATATAATATCCAAAGCAGAGTTCTTACCTGCAGAAGATGTGCTCACAATAAGCCTCCTGTGCACAATGGCTGGTAACGAAAGCTCCTGCAAAGTGGAGGTGGTCAATAGCCCGAAGCAAATCTCTCCCGCTCCATCAGCTACTGAATTCAACTCGATCGGGCAAACGACCAAGTTCTTATTTTGCAAAACTGACACTAGAATCTCCTAGAACCACAGAATCTGTGTTGCGATATTCAAGCCTCCTTTTGCATTAAGGTATCAGTAGCAGCTAGCGGTTTTTAAAGCTAAAGGCCAGTCCCAGACCGGTTAAGTAGTGAAGGGAGGAGTCTACATATCTATGTGCTTACCTTTGCAGAACTTCTACAGTCCCCGCTGAAAGTATTGCACAATTGACACGCATGCTATCCCAGACTCTTACTCAGCCTCCAGATATTCAGCGTGACGACTTCAGTAGTAAGGAGCAAGGGCAAACCTGGGCTTAAGCTTCCTTTCCTTCTAGCTTAGCGAGTCTCCTTGCATTCTCGTATATCGAGCAGGTGACCGATCTCCGCGACGGAGCCTAAGGAGCGCTATCCGTAGATACATGCTAGCTATATAGCGTTAGGGATACTCGTCAATACTTGCAACTCGCAACGTCCTCGCTTCAAGTGTGGCTTCTTCAAGCAGCAGGAAGAACCTTGTCGCCGTTGCACCAGCACCCGAGAAGACCACCTCGGGCGCAAGGCAGAAAGAAGCGACAGGAAAAAGACGGACGTCTGACTATTCCGAGATGTTGGGTGCGGTCATCGTATCACCGTATAGTGGATACACGTGCATGGTATACAAAAAAACAAAACAATACAGATTGCGAGAAAACGAGGGAGAAAGGGAGAGAGAAGGGGAAGAGAGGAATAGCTCGTGGAGCGACTGGTAGCTAGGTAAGTGCGTGAGAAGTACAAATTCCCTACCTTCTACGGAGAGTCCTGCTTGTAGCTAGCCTGTCTGCCAGCCAGCTTCCCGATTCATGAAGCGAAGAGCTTTACAAGGGCGGATATGTACACCACATTATTGATTCAGCGCTTTTGAATCCTTTTGGAATATATCTATCTATCTATCAAGGCTTCTGCAGCAGCTGGAAGGTGGCTAGGTGGGATACTCACTCATCAACTTACTTACTCACTCACTCACTCACTAGCTTCAAATCCTCAACATAAATACGACGTAATCCCCAGCTGCAGACCAAGCATATTTGCACGTAAGGGATATTGAGTAAGTAAGTAAATATCAAGTAAAAAAGGCGCCTAAACTTCGAAAGTGAAAGAGGTCCAATAAAATTTATAACAACCATTCAACAAGAAAAATGGCTGCTACTACGGTTATTGTGTAACCAATGCTGCTGACGTTGTTGATGCTTGTATTCATTTATTCAGATATATATTCATATTTTGCATAGCTACTTCTGATATGATTATTATTGATCAGACAGGGTATTCGTGCAGTGCAGTAGTTCATGCGCGTGCGAGGCATATATACATACATACATACTGCGAGGTACGATCCCGCGCGCGGCGAGGAGGCACAGCACCGCACCGCATAAGGGGTCCATCCACGTCTATAAGTACGCGGTGCAAGCATCTCTCTCTGCCGGCGTGTAGTGCAGATGTTGGTGGCTTGCGGCGGGCTTGCCTTATCAAAGAATGCCATCTCCATGATCCATCTGGATTCGACCGTCGACGCCACTTTCTGCTCCCTTTTGGGGACTCTCGAGGGCAGGGGATCGCGAGACCTGGTGGGTTTCTGGATTCGGCGGATTATACGAGCAGCAGCTGCAGATATTAGATAGACTCTCTACGCTGCTAGCCGTTAGTTACTAGATGAAGCCACGAGGAGGAGAACTATGCTATTAGATGCATACGATGGACGATACAGCCCATGCTCTGAAGAGGGCATTCTGGAATCCGGCTACTACAGCTCTGTGGAAAATCCGCGTAGTTACAATGAGTTTTGAATTGAATCGTCTCATTATTTAAAGTGATTCTCAGGTCTCTGTCTTAAGTAAAAAAAAGAAAAAAGCGAGTGGTGACAAGACAGAAACCGAGTTGTTTCCCACATCCCATCCCATCCCATCCATGCGACCAACCAATCAACCAAGAGAGAGAAGTACATCAGTCGAGGAGAGAAAAACTATGCATGCCCTGGTGGTCTGTTCCCATCTCGATATCTGAGTCTTCTCTGGCGCCCCAAACCGTATCAAATAAAAAACTCCTCCCTCTCTCTGCACCTCCTGCTCCTGCTCCAGCAGCGACTACTCTTGCTCCAAGTCATACACCTGGCCCGCGGCCTTGGGCCCCCAAGAAAAAAGTATGATGTGTCTATTGAGATTTTGAAAACAGTATAACACACCGCGCCACATATGCAATGCACACTCTATAGTTTGTTCCAACAGACGAGATGTTAAAAAAAAAAAAAAAAAAAAAAAAGTAAATGATTGCATGGAGGTAAGTCCTAGAGATCGATTCACAAGGCGTTGACGAATCCCTCGCTCCCCCTCCAAAATGAGGGAAGAAAAGGAAAAGAAAAGAAAAAAAAAGATTGAATATGTGTCCTCAGTACAGATCAGTCCAGCGAGAGACAGATAGAGAGGTCAAGAAAAATGAACGAGGGCTCGCTTCGAAAGACCGAAAAAGAGTACATAGATTAGCGAACAACATTAATGGAGAAACGCAGAACAAAACAAGACAGAAAGACGACGTAAAAACATGGGAGATCTTTCCGCAACTTTTGGGGCGGTCGCCAGTCAAAAAATCTACCACCACCGCTATCAATCATAAACATGAACCATCAAATCATAAGGATATTTCTTTCGTTCACACATGCTTTCTTTTCCCTCTTTAAACACATACACGGCCGGGGTGGGGAGGTGGGTATCATAGCGGTCTTGGGTCCTCGTAGCAGCATGCGGGCGTCGGCGGCGTATATCGTCGAAGTCACAGTTGGCAAGCAGACAGCTAGCTAACTAGCTCGATCTCGCACTCGCACCTCCACAGCCGGCGTGCCCAGTACGAGGCCTCGAGCCGGGCCCAGCAGTCGTCGACCTAGCAGCTGTGCCCTCCTGACTGCCGCCTTCGGCCTTGATCTTCTTCTTGTTGGTGCTGTTGTTGTTATTGGAGCCGGCGGCCGCGGAGCCCTTGCGCGGCTTCTTCTCCATGCTCAGCCACAGCGCGTAGGCGTCCGGGTGGTACTGGGTGCGGCTGCGGGCGCCGGGGACGGCGTGCCGGAGGACGTGGGCCTTGATGTTGTCCATGCGGTCGGCCGGGAAGATCTTCTTGCAGAACTCGCAGGGCACGGGCGAGCGCGGGGGCTGGTGCGTCCGGCCGTGGCGCTTGAGGTGCTCGAGCCGGACGAACTTGCCGCCGCAGCTGGGGTGGCTGCAGAAGTGCCCGGCCCGCGAGACGGCCGTGATGCTGCCGTACTTGCCGCTGCCGCCACCACTACGGTCTTCGCGCTTGGCTGCTGATGACTTCTTGCGCGGGAGCTTGGCTGCTGGCGCCTCGCGTCTCGCGGGGGTCTTGGGCTCGGAGTCGTCTGCTGGCGTGGGCTTGTCGTAGAAGGGGACTTGGTAGTCCAGCAGGCCGCCATGGTCGTTCCCGTTCCGAGAGTCGCGGAAGTTGGACGGGCGCGAGGGCGTGGAGCAGTCGGGGAGTTGGTGTTCCCCGGGGTCGGGCATCATGTACCGCATGCTCTGCGGCGAGCAGTCGGACATGGAGAAGCCCGAGTCGCACTCCGGGCTCGCGTGTTCATAGTCCATGCTGAGGTGCAGAGACTTGGTGGGAGATTGGATCGTGTATAGATCCATGAAATTCGTCTGGGAGGGGACGACGCAGCTATTCGAGAGCGGCGTAGGGCAGCTCATGTCGGACATGGGCGAGAATAGTTCGTTTTCGAGGGAGGGCGCGCACAATGGGAGACCATCGTATGCTGTAAATGAGTTACACAACGAGGAATCGAGGTATGGCCCGTAGTCCATCTCGGCCATGCTGACTTGGGGCATGTTGACTTCGGGGGCCAAAGTCGGCTGACTTGGGGTGAAGTCCATCTGTTGTTGGTATCCTACCATCATACCCTGTGTCAAGGCATTCATGGCATTGAAGCCATTGATGTTGGCGTATCTATCCGGCGTTGAGACTGGGGTCGGAGCCGAAACAGCTGAGCTCTCTCGCTTGGCGGAACCAGAGTTGGGCGATCCTCGTCTGGGTGTTGACATCGGCGTGTAAACAGTCGACGAGTCCCAGGTTCCTGAAGATGCGTCCGAGTAGGAGGAGGTTGCGGAATGGTTGGAGGAGTAGGAAGCTCCCATGGGATTGTCGTAAGGCATGTTACTGTGGTGGTGGTTGTTGTTGTTGTTGTTGATGTACATCATTGCAAGAAAGCCTCAACTGAGAGATGGGTTTTCAGACTCAGGACTGTCCTCGAAATTAGCTTTCATTGCAGACACGAAGCGAAGGATGACGGACCGTAGCGGGGGCAGGCATTCAAGGTTCAGAAAAGACAGTGGCTATGAAGACTGGAATGAGCGACGACGTTCTTCAGAGATATTGACTTGCAATCGGGGAGAAAGGGCCCTTATCAAGTTGATGTTGCGTCACTTGATGACAACCCAAACCTGAGATGGGGTCTGAAGGTAATGTCGCTCTGTCCCAGATGAGGAGAGTTGGTTAGACTAAGCTCACCTTTCAATATTGAGTGTCGAAGGGGTATTACTATTATCTTGAGTCGCGTCTGAAATCGTCTGAAGTCGCGTTCTTGCTGGGATGAGCAAGGTATGTCGTGTTGGAATGCCACTCTCTTGTCGCGACTTTTCGAGATTTGGGCGGTTCTCACTCCCTGGCACCGCCGTTAAGATTTCCGCGAAGGCACCGTGTCTTCTCCACAAGAGGACGTAGGGTGTCTCTGTCGTACGTGCAAGAGCAAGGAGCCCTGATCGGATCTGAATAGTAAAGATGTTTGGCCGAATAAGTTTCTCCAGTTCGTGGTTGCTTACCCCTTGGGAAGGGCGGCCGTGCCTGCTCTTAACGAAACATTTATCCTGCAGCTGGTGGCTGTCTCTAGCCTGCACAGAAGTCCTGGAGCAGGCTGGATCAGCCTCAGATCCCAATTGTGGGGACCTTCGTGCCGCCAGATGGAGTAAAAAGAAGAAACGTCTCACATCTCTCTTCCGGCAAGATATCCTTTCGGCGTGGCGACATGCCCCTTGATTGAGACAGGATGGAGGAAGAGGTTACGATATCCACCCTCATTGGAAGAGGTCTGGCTAACATGTTCCAAAGTTAGCAGGAACTGGAGATCTAGTTTTGCCTTTGCATTCCTCGCACGACGATTTTCAATTCCAGAAATCGGGGGCTGGAATGGGCAGTGATCGTTGAGAATGTACCGACCGTCTCGAACGGCCCTACGATAGGAGTGGAAATAACGGCTACTGGACTCGACTGATAGACTGACAGACTGACCTACTGACAGACAGAGAGACAGAAAGACAGACGAGATGTCAATATCTCGATTCGACCTACTGAACTGTACCGCTGAGGCACAGATGAACTTTGGCTCAGGGGACCTGGGATCTGGGATCTCGCATCTGGCATCTGGGACCTGGGACCTGACGTCGTCTACCTAATCTGGCAATTTCAAAGAACAAATTTGATCTGCGAAATTGCTTATTGGCAGATCATAGTCTGATCTGCGAACCAACATCTCTTGGGGCTCCCAAGAAGGCCGGTGGTAGGGATGCTAGTTTGATATTCTGGATCGCCTACGCAGTAAAGCTCGTCCTCATTCTCGACGGGCTTAGTCGCTTACTGATAAGGTGTGACCGGACTCACCGGACACTACTCGAATCTGCCCTTCTGCGCATCTAAGAGCTGGATGGCTTTTTCTTCCCAGCTCGATGGCGCTGCCGTTGAGATGCGCCTCATCTCATTCTCGTCGAAAGGAAGACCTCGGTCGGGACTCGGGATACGGAATAATAACTTTGTTTAGCCCGACGACCCTGCTCCAAGCACAAAAAACATAGAGAAAAAGAAAAGTGCTTCAAATGCTTCTCCAGGCCGAGCTCGGCTTTTTTTCCCGGACTCATCATATCTTGCAAAGTTGATGGAATCGACGGTCCAATAGCGACGACCAGTTCTCGCTAAGCCACCAACAACAACATCAATAAAAGCTCTGCCAAGGAGCAGGCCTCCCCCTGAGCTGCTGTGATGTGAGCAGTCTTTCCCTGTAATCTGCAATCTATAAATCTGTAATCTACGCGATCCCTGTCTCTGAGAGAGTGCAAGTTTCAGAAAGAGGTGCAAAAAAACATCCAGGCCGAGGCTTAAGTAGAGTGCGTGATGCTTGTATGTATTTACTCTAGCTTTGTGTAACCGGGACCGGTACCCCCCCGACCCCCCCCCCCCCCCCCCAACCCTACTCAAGGACTGACTAACCTGCCCCCATTTCAGCTCATGATTGCGGAATACCGCAAGAGGACGCACTGTCGGGCCGGATCGTCTCATTTCGGCATCAGTGTTGTGTGAGTGAGTGAGAGGGAAGCGAGCGAGTTGGAACGCCACTACGGATAAGTATCTCATCATCTCGTATACTCACTCACCAGCGCTGCACCTGCACCTAGCTAGCTACCTGCCTGTCTGCCTCTCTCTCTCTCTCTCTCTTGCAAAAACATCATCCCCGTATGTAGGTATATATCTTCACCTACGACGAACAAACCGATAAATAAACAAATCAACAAACAAGGCTCGACCGTCCCCTCGGATCCCAAAGCCTCCAGCAGGAAAAGGCAGGATTGCTGCAACCTTTCCGTCTTCCGGTCCTCCTCCGCTGATGTGCTGCGTCTAGCTGCTGCATTTCCCCTGCATCTTGCGCGATTTGCCGCTGCACATCCCGAATGTCTCTGGACCGACCGACCTACGGCGTGACCGAGGAGAAGAAGAGACATGCAGAGATATACAGATCTGAGAGACATGCAGACCGAGATCTGTAGACCAAACATATATACACATCACAGAGAGACATTACACTTTCGTTGAATTACGTTCCCACCGGAGCCAACTCCGCGGCGGATCCATTCGGATGCATAGATCTTCGATCCTCATTTGCGACAAGCATCGTAGTCCGTTCCTCGCAGGATCTTGGCTCTCATGATCCTGCCCCCATTCCCGATGATGAAACGAACGTTGATCCCAATTAGCAGCATATTTTTCTACATCGTGAAACGATTTTTTTTCTTCTTGGTGCTCTTCGTTCGTTTATATTTACCTATTGATTTCTTTCTTTCTTTCTGACTGACTGACTACTGACTGACTGACGTGCTTGACTTGACATCGAGCACCCAACTAACTAAATCCTGCAGAATCAGACCATCAAGATCTCATTCGTCCCAGATCCCCTAAAGGCCTCCTCCCTACATTCTTCTTCCTCTTCCCTCACTGGGACTCCAACAACACCAATACCTACGTAGTCTAGTCCGCCAGCCCGCAGAAAAAAAAACGGCTGACCTGATCACATCACTCTCCCTCTCTCCTCCGTCCAGCGATCTACATCCAACATAGAGCGATCAAATAGCACCTTCTACTAATTAAGCTAATCTCAGCGTTGAGCCCATGAGATCAGTCCGCCTGCCAGCCTTCTCAACCACCATTCCCCTCCCCCCCAACCACGCCAGAGAATGCATCATCATGCAAAGGAGAGCCCCTCCCACCCTCCCCATCCGCTCCCCCGGCGGGGAGAGATGCACATTGCAGATTGCAGATTGCATATTGCAGACCCGCGGAAGCCCGTCTCTTGCCTCCCGGCGTCTCGCCTAACTAGTCAGCTGCGGTGTAACACCAGATCGATTTGCACCGGGTGACGTTTAGCGAACGATACTATCAAGTACGTATTTGGATATCCAGATCAACCAGGTAACTGCTGCTCAAGCCAGTGAGTGGAAATCACTTGACCTTACTATTCGAGGTCACGCAGCCATATATTTCCCGAGGAGCAACCTAATATGTAGACAAGCGTAGGCACCGAGATTGTACGTACGATAAGTGCGGATATAGGAACTTCTGCGGTACGGAAAGCACGGGAGCAGAGTTTCATGGCATGGCAGACTTGGGGGATCAGGAAGAATAAGGTAGAGAGGATATACGAAGTATATACATACATACATACATAAATAAATTTACAGAAAGCAGATAGATAAATAGTAAAAAAATATTCAGAGCGCTCGCTCATGGCTCTTTTCTGACTTCATTATCTACGGAGTCTTCACTCGCCTCATTCTTCCATACATATCTTCATCCATGTACTTCGTATCCAACTTCCAAGCCTCTATCTCCCCCCAACGCTATGGCAACGTCCCTCCCTCCCTCATCTTATCACCCTTTCTTCTTATTCAATATACTTCGTTTCTTACTCTGCACTTAGCCCGACTAAATCTATCCCAGCCCAAATTGATATTTGGGTTACGGAAATGGCGTCGGCCGTTACAACGGCCAAAAATGTAGAGTAGTGACACAAAACACGATATGACATGACATGACTCGGTAAGCGTGGCTTGAGGGTACACAATCACAGCGGCAGCATTCCAGCTTCCAGCTTTCTCGCATGTACAGCAACGCCTTTTTTTTCCAACGCTTCTAAAAGGCGGGGGAGGGGCTGATACCAAGGGGGAGGGAGAGGCGGATGGGAGGTTGGGAGGTTGGGAGTTTTCTAGTTTCTACGACGGTGTAGGAAAGACGAGATGGATGGCTTATGCATGCCTGCGGATGGATATGAAGAGAGATAGATCGACACGTGAAGATGGCTAGCTGATTATCTGGTTCGGTTGTTCTCGAGCTGTACATGATTATAGTAAAGTAAAGCAAATAAAAGCTTTTCATTAAGAAATCAAAAATCTAAATTTATATATATTTCTCTTTCTAATCCCTCCTTTCCACTCTATCATCAATAACACAATGACATATCAATAAATGAAAGAAAGTAAAAACCCCAAACCACGATAAATCTTTGAATTTTTTTTTAATCATCGGAATAATGAAATCGCTCTCTCGATTCAAGAGTCAGACCGCGGGAAGCGATTTTCCTTCCTATCTTCCTCTCCTCCCCTTTCTGAAGCTATATTCAGAAGTTGGAATCAAGCACAGTATTACGTAAAAAGGCACCCTTTTTTCCAGAAGAGGGATTCAATCCAGTCGGATGATACTAAATACATACAACACATAGAGCTACTGACCATTCCAATCAACGGCCAGCCAGCCCAGCCAATCCAGCCACCCTCACACAACACACCCACCAAATCTCCCTCCCTCCATCAGTGAATATCTCGATTCAATACATACAATCATGCTGCGAAGGAAACTCGCGCCCGCAAGCAAGCAAGCAAGCAGGCAAGCAAGCAGGCACGCAAACAAGCAAACCATGCCCATACCTCGAACACCTTCACTCAAATCCATATACGCTACCCTTCCCTTTCTTTCCTTCATACACAACCCCTTCTCCCCCTCCTCTTCTCTCCTCATACAATATCCCACCACGTTAACAATCCTAAACCCCCGCCTTTCTCCTTCTTCTTTTTTTTTTTTCACTTTTTTTAAAAAAAGGATACACTCTGCAGCAACAGGTAACAAAACCGCTATGGAAACCCCCCCCCCCCCATAAAAAAGAGAGACCCCCCGTCAGATAAGCTTCTAAACAAGAGCTACTCTGCAGATCTTCCGTCCTCTTGTTAGATATCTTTATTTTCAGATTATCACGAGGTATATTCCTTCACAGAAATAACTACACCAGGGTATGAACAACATCCTAGCTTGCCCTATCCCATCGCAACCAAAATCTCGAGAATGATAACGATGACGATAAAGATCTCAACAGCTGTAATCAATCAATCAATCCATCCATCCAAATCAACCAACTGATACATGCAATCTACAGCTGAGCTGAGAGCCCAGCTAGCTCAGCTGCTATTATACTCCGTACGACTTCCCTCCTCTTCCCCGCTCCAAGTCATGCACTTACAGAGTACTCCGTATACTTAAGTAGAGCATAGGTACATAGTACATACATGCATACATGCATGCATGCCTGCGTGCCTGCAGCGTCCATCTCACGGTCGGTAGGTACCAAGCCCGAGCCTGAGCCCCGGTCGGGCAATAAGCAAGTAAGCCATCGACTCCCGAGTCCCGAGTCGGCCCGCTGCACAGAGCTTACGCTGCATACATACTGCATATACACTGCAGTAAAGAAACAAACAAAACTAAAATTCCCCCCCCCCCCCCCCAAAAAAAACAAGTGAAAATAAAATACACCCAGTCCAGAGCCTGGCAGGCCCACGAAAGAAAATGGGAGGAGGGATGGGAAGAGGATGAGATTGATGATGATGATGATGATGATTTCTCGAAAACCAAAACGCTTGCGTGGAGAAAAAAGACCAGAGAGGGAGGGAGAGGGGAAGAAAGAAATCGAAAAGCAGAATGGAGGTATTAAGAGAAAAGAGAAAAGAAAAACAATGGAACTAAGAGAAAAATAAACAAAACAAGCAAGCATTCAAGCGAACGACCAAGCGAACAAGCATCTACACCTCCCTACCCTCCTCCTCCTCCTCCCCCTCTTTCCAACAAATCGCAATGCCCAATCTCATCTACTACGTATATCCACTTAGATATCCACCCGGCTAAGTACCCAGCTCTATTCACCTGCCAACTGCTAACTGCCAAACGAGAAAAAAAAAACCTGGTCTGCCT